ACTGCCCTAATAGAGCCTCGTTTTTGCGGATTCGCGGGGAAAGTATTTCATTACTTGCACTCAGATTCATACTAACTAAAACTAAGTCCTTTATACTGATAAAAAAAAGTGATGGAAAGCGTAAATAATCAAGGTAGGTTTCAAGAGACTGAACCAATTTCTGAAGACATTTTTAATACAGTACGTTATCTCAAAGCTGTTGGTGGGATCGTATTTGTATCAGTTATCTGTTATGAAGTATCATCACAACATCTGAGTAAGGTTGAGAGAAACTTTTTTCCCACAAAATATCATTGTTACATTCCCACCATAATTGTTTGTAGAGTGGCACAGATTAAACAACATTAAAGTAAGCGTCTATTTTATCAAATGTCAGTCTGAAGTGGTTTTTTTTCTTCACAAGTCGAAAAGACACGAAAAAGACGCGACTCGCGCTCTTTTCCTCGCTTTACGCGTGTGTCTACTCGAGCTCTTTTCGCCTCGCGCGCGTTGTGATTTTCTCATCAACCAACTGTTTGGCAAACGTGATAATGCCTCTCTTGTCTTGTTTTTGTTTTTCCATCCATTTTTAAGCCAAAGGAGTATGAGTATAGCTGTATTTTTTAAAATCAGAAGGTTGGAATCCTTTTTAATTTTAGTTTGATATGAGAAACAATGGCCTATAATTAACTCTCTATGCTAAACTGGATTGCCGCGATCTCAAGCCCTGTTCAGAAGGAATGTTTCAGACCATTAAAAATAATCATGAGCACTGTGGGCTTCTTTTCCCGTGTGCATCGTCAAAGCCTTATCTTCTATAAGTCTCCCTAAATTCTAATATTTACTTTCAACCGCACACGATCCTTTAAATTCTTTGATAAAAAGTTTGCTCCTGAAGCATGGATCTCAATATATTTTTAAAACCTGAACATGCACTTTCCGCTCAGCCAATATTCAACACCAATTGAAATGCTCATGTAAATAATCAAAAGTGTGAATAGTCTAAGGTAGACTGAAGAAATGGCCTGTGAGCGGGTTAAAAAGGCTAAATTGAAGGAGCTAAACTAATTCTTATTCTCCCAACAGCTGTTTCATGCGTCAGCTGTGCGTTTATGGGGATATGAATCACGCAGGAAGTTAGAGCACCAAAGGCGCGTAAGAGTTTGTTGAGGCGTCGCCGAGTTTAATTCTAGCTTATTAAGTACCTCCTTTTTTCGATGAGCGCACAGCTGACTAATGAGTCCGTTATTTTATGAATTTTTCCGGGGTGTTAGCATAAAGATGTTCTATAAAGATTAGTTTATCGTCAGCGCACACACACGTCATCATTTTTCACAACAGGATTTTTATGATAAAGTAAATTATACACGCATTTTGATAGGTTCTTACTTATGATCTTTTGGAGGACAGACGCATAGAAATCGTCACCATTAACAATAATTTGGCTTTTTTTTTTAATCATACAAAACAAATAGATTCCATATTAACGCTGGTCTGTACAGTAAATTATATATATATATATAGATTAAAACATAGATCCATTTCTGCAACGAATATGTAATCCTAAACTATCAATGGGATCACATTGCAGTCACACACCTGGCCTGAAATGTAATCGAACATCTGAATAAGCTAATTTTTCAGATAATGCAAAATGGCCGCGGTAAACTTTTTACAGTGGGCGATATACATTTCCAACGCAGTTGGTGAAACCCACATTTTCCAAGTTTCTAGATAATTTGAGCATGGGATCCTGGGGCTATGCGCCGACTCAGCTAAACAATTATTGGATGAGGTTTTTGTGATATCTAGAATAATCAATGTCGGGGTAGAGATTACCGAGACCTTGACTATTCTGGATATCACAAAAACCGAATCTACTAATCGTTTTATTACACATTGGACGAAAAAACAATGGTCACTTCAGTAAGTGGAACTGATAACTTATTTCTAGGCGTGTAAAAGTATACAAATCAGCAGGCAACACAAAGCGCGCGAACTTGACATGATTACCCGCAGAAATCATTCATCGCGGTCATACATGACATGATTACTGTGACCTTGAGTGTCTTTGACCTGATTATTGTATAATCTGCAGCTAGATGACGTCCTAGGCGCTGATTTCGAAAACTCACAGTACGCTTTCGGCTAATCAGAAAAGAGATAGTGAGTATCCAATAGCGGGCGGCCAATTTACGTTATCACCTCAGTTGATTATGCCAAATTACCCTGTTATACTCTCCCACCGACGAAGCTCCGCAGTTTCTTTAGAAATTTACCTCCTTTTGACATAATATCATGTCGAGTTCAAAGTCTACGTCGTTTCTAAGCCCCCTCGTCCGAGTAGTGCTTCCTTTTGGAGGTTGGTTAAGAAATGCATAACATATCGGCTTTCGCATGATAACATGAATCATCAAACCTTGTGTCTGTGTTATCTGCCGAAGCATCAGACCTCGGCATTGATAATTCATGATATCATGCTCGACCTCATCCAATAATTGCCTATTTTTCTCTTGAAGTTGAATGAGCGTCAGTAAGAACTTGAACACACTTGTCAGTGATTGATGGGATGGTAAAAAGGCTGACTGTGTCAGTGTTATTACACACTTGTAAATTGTACGCGTAAATTTCGAGAACGAAGTCGCTGAATCGCCAAAATGCATATATTAAAATGCAAATTATCTCTTTAAATATACCAAAATCTGCCAGAGTTCAGAATAGGTCCTTGAATTCTCTCTTCTCGACTCCAGACCGGTTACAAGAGCATTCTGCGATAAGGGCATCATGTGAGTTTAATTATCTCTGAGAGTGGTGCCCTAAACGTTCTAGAAAAGTTACTGAATTTGTGGTGTGCAATCAGTCAGGATCAGTTTCAACGGTAAGCCTTGCCTTAAGAATAGTCAGTATATGGTTTGAACCTAGGAGTAACTGTCGATCTTGTAGTCTGATCATCCGAGGGAGAGTAGTCTTGAAAAAGACTGTTGTCGGTAATGTAAAAGTTACTGACGTTTGGACAACTTCAGGAAGGGGAAAAGTTATAGCGAGGTTAACGGGGGCCTTAGAATTTCTAGGGTAACACCCTGTCGTTTACAATCAGCATGAAGAGAACCTTATCATCCGTTTAAAACATCCGTGTCTCAAGACAGGGAAGTAGAGACTTTATCCAAGAAAATTTATAGTTCGAGATCGGAGAGGACCCCAGACACCCTGTACACTTCATGTCGACAAAAGTCAGTTCTTATTACACGATTATATTTTCCAAACTAGTATTCAATTCTGTGGAAATACGCCAGCAATGGTATTCAACAACAACTTAAATAATACGACAGTCAGCTATTAATTCTCTCCGTCAAGCTTCTTGACCCGGATTAAAGAATGTCAACAAACAGAATATCAGTACACAGCAACTGTACACGTAATATATACTGCGACTAACAGGCAAAGCTGAGTCATAAGCTGCTTTTCGTTGCCGAAATTTCTTTGCTATACCTTATCAAATAATACTTTGAGAAGGGTAACCTGATACTAGGAGAAGACAAATGCTGCGATTTAATTGATTGATCATGCAGACGTAATTGGTAAAATAGTGAAAGAAACCATAGCAACCACATTCAATAAACTTCGTCCCCAATTATCATCGCAGTTTTGATTCTTTCGTTTCAAGTAAGATGTAGGAAGGCGGGAATGTTTCATAGAATGAAAATTGCGAGAAAGTGAAAAATAAAAAATAATGGGGTTCTGGAATGTGGAAAAAATTGAAGCAATTTATTATTGTCTAAAGATGATGCTTAACATCATACAGTGCTCAGACACCATAAATCATTCGCAACCATCGAAGCAGGCAAATTTGAATGATTCGAAAACTTATGTAATGTTTAGCCATAACTTGTGCATTTGAAGAATTCCAAACTTTGGACTGTATAGGCACGTAAAATTGAAAGAAATCCACACAAAAACAAAAAACCAATCTGATTTTTTAGATGTTTGAAGTAACCAATCAAATGAAAGGCAAAGAAGATCAAAGAGGCCGTCGTGGGGGAAATTTTGCAACTCTTTACAAACAACCTCAATACTGGATCAATAAAGTATTTGTGCTGAAAAAAAAACACCTGCATTTGGGCAATTGAACTTTGTGATTTCAAAATGGATGCACTAAGAGTGGTAATTGAACTTCGTATCTTTAAATTTAAATCTGAAATTATACTTGTGATTTCAAATCGAACTCACTCTGCGTGTTTGTTCGACTTTGAAGTCATGCGTATGATCTAAGACTTGATAATATAATTGAAAAACGTTCAGCATGCTTATTGACCGAGAACACGTCAATTAATCCCAAACAGTGCAGAAAGTCGAAATTGAGTGCAGAAAGTTTCGGTGGTCCCAAATAGGACACGCTACCTACTTTTAAATAAGATTTATCGCGCGATGAAATCAAAGTATTTCACGTTAAATGGAAATTATTTGCTTCAACCAGATAAACAATGCGTAAATCCCTGTTCTTTACAGCAACACATCTTCATTCAGCCTCTATACAAAAACGCTTCTTCGGGTTTCAAGGACACCACCATTGAACTGGGAGCTAATCATATATAGTACTTTCTTCATAACGGGATGGATGTTAAAGCTATTGCTATAGCAAGTTAATTCACCTTACCAGCCTGTTAACCATTAGTAATAGAATTGGAATAAAAACCTGGTTGGCCTTACTTAAACAGGATCTGTCCTTCGGTCATGCGCTCTTTCTTCAATAAAGTTTTTGTTTTCTTCAGTTTATTTAGCCGAGTCGGGAGGTGGAAATAACCGATTCTCTTGGACGGATGGGGGATTCTGACGACAGCAATAAAGGTTCTTAATTAAATTCATAATTTCCTAAAACGGTATAGGTTTACTCATTATCCCTTCCAAGTCGTTACCTGTTACTGATAAACAGGATATCCAGAGTTATAATTTTTGCGGCTCCCAGTGCACATTTTTTTGCTGTCTGTTCATAATTTTCGAGTCAAAATTTTTGATCAAATAGGATGTTTACTTATTTTGCAGCCACTTCTAGTGGTCTACAGTTTGAGCAGGTTCTTATCAATGCAAACCAGAAGGAGTTAATATGTGAGGAAGTAGGTAAACACTGGAAAAAACTGGGTTCAGCCTTAGGGCTCTCATCAGCTTTTCTGAATAACACTGAGACTGATCACAGCGGTGATTGCTGTGAAAGGGTACAAAAAGTGCTTGAAAAGTGGCAACAAGAAAACGGAAGTGGAGCAACAATGGAAGTTCTTAAAAATGCTCTGATGAAGATAGGGAGGACAGATGTTGCTGAAAAACTGCTTGGTATGTAATCTCCTTTTGTAAAGGAAACTCGGTCAATACCAGGTCTATCTACTTTCATAACGAAAAAACTTAATACCTAAGTAGAAAAAGACCTTGAAGCGAAAGACTTCATGGTTACGTTAAGGAAGTTTCTTTCTAAATAGAGCTCGCGCCGCGAACAACTTCAATTATATCGTTGTTACACAAAGAGAGGGGTAATCAGTTATACGTAAGCCTCACTAAAGATTTAAATGAATATGTAAGTTTTGCTGACGGGAGGCAATAGCTTGTGAGGTCCACAGGCGTATCAACGCACAGTTTTTGCGAGGTTGAAGCATCACCGCGAAGGCCGCTTAGGGCCACTTTAAACTCGAGTCAGATCTCCTCAAAATGATTGAAAACATTGAACTATTTCGCCACTGCAATTGCATGAGCCAGCATTTGAATAGGTAGTAGTGGGGGAGTCTTACTGGAATCTAGCGCAATGTTAACACCTTAAGAGCATTTCATGAAGAGCCAGCAACCTTACTACCGTGTACATCCGCAAATGATTTACCTCTTTCTACCTAGAAATAAGAAAAGTGGAGACAAGCTCACGTTACGATAAAGCGCGATTTCAGAGGTTACAAAGTACAGTGGAACAGTTGGGGAAGGATCTAAAGGAAAGAATCCAATGCATGGAGGAAAAATTTTCAGAGCTGCAAAAGTACCTCTCAATTAGAAATATTAATCTGAAAAATCAGGAGCAGGAAATGATTCCAGTTGGAGAAGATGATGATTCTCGTCAGCCAGCCGGGCTGGCTGACCGCACTCAGAAAGGCAATGGACAGAGATATAGGGATAGGCAAACATGCGAGGGTTCAACTACGGATGGTAAGTTGATATTGCATGAAATTGTGTGAGCCACCATCCGCCATAGCAGGGACCGCGGTGGGGAAGAGGCCTGAGGGCCCTCAGCCCTATAACAAAGTAAGAAAAATTCAAATTGGCAAAACATTAAACATTTTTCAGAAATACTAGTGCGCGTAACGGAGAAAAGCTGCAATTGAAATTGACAAGGTACACATGCGTTAAACTGACAGTCAAAAACTTCACAAATGTCCGTCCTTTAACTAGCTTTTACGGTGAACGGACCACCTAGAAAAACAAGCAACTTTTTTCTAAAGGTGCAATAAATTTTTGCCTGGAGTTATCAACATAGTCTAAACTGGCGCTGTACCCGTGTCCCTGTGACCGTGGGCTAAAATGATCTGGCTAGTATTTTTCTTCTTTTCACTACATCCTTGATCAAAATACACTGGTGTATACCAATTGAACGAAAAGGAATTGTGCGGAAGAATACCCAATTAGAATAGCTTCCAAGTCTTAAAATCGACGAAGACAACAGTCGTACTTTAAAATCATCAAGGTACACATTTGTAGACCTCGAAAACGAAGAGCAAACGTGTAGAAGAAACTCGAATTGAAATAAACTGGCTTCAAAAGCCTAAAAATCGACGATGAAAACAGTCACAGCGATATACATGGACAGAAATGTTTTATGGCGCCGTGTGAGCGATGAAACATTTCCATATCTATCTTCGGGACAGACGCCAGTTTGAACTATATTGATAACTCCAGGCAAATATTTCGGCTTTTGTATCGCCACCCAGATGTTTGAGCATGTGACAATAGCGTGATTTGGGATAGGGGCAAACCTAGAGTGGGAAGCTCACGATTTTCATCCCCAGTTTCCTGTGTTTTGGAACTTAGAACATCTGGGAAGACGATGCAGATTTTGTCGACTAAGGAGAAAAACGAACGGCTTGCGGGAGCTCGAGTAAGTTGATTTTCGCGTATCGATTTGGCTACCACATGGCTATACGTTACACCTATTTGGCAGCTGGTTTACCATGTTTTAGGGTTTTAAAGATTTGATATAATTTGACCCTTGAAAGCGATTTTATTCTTTTTGCAAGTTGATTGTGCGTATCTGTTGAAGCTACACATATTTGGCATCTTATCTACCATGTTTTGAGGTTTTTACAGATTTAATTTGATTTGACCTTTCTTTCTGTCACCCAGTCAACTTGTAAACCATATCGCTTCTAGGGCGTGAATCTTAAGTCAGAGTTGGACATTTTACAAAGCGGACACTTAAGCACTTCGTCCACAATCTTGACTCACATAATATAAAGCGAAATATGATAAATTTCCTGCTGGCCACTGGATCTTCTTCCGGTTCCTGAGGCCACGTTAGAAACTTAATGTTTTCGTAGTTACATATTATTTCATATGTTTAGAGACAAAACAATTTTTTCTCCGTACCCGCTTTTAGTATACGGACTCTCGCTATAACGGACACTAAATCTTTCCCTGAGGGCGTCGACTATATTCTAGTTTTAGTTTGTTTTGATACGTTCCGAGGTCAATATGGCCTTCAGCCTACTTACCCAGAATTTTAACCAATGAAATTACAAACAATCACGTTAACATGATAATAAACAGCAATTATAAAACAAACCTCGCACACAGAGAGTAAATCTGCGGATAATTATCCAATAGCTTGTATTGAGCTTCTCTTTGTTAGCTATTAATGGCGTCTCTTGCTAACACAAGCCATGCGAAGCGCTTCGATATAGCTGCGTGACGCCATACTGGCATAGATCATTCGACGCCGGCTTAGATAGAAAACAGTGGAAAAATAAATTTTGATATCTTCAAATATATTGATAGACAGTTAATACCAGCCATTTCCTCGGTCGCTTTTATTAGTACCATACTTTTTGTTTTTGTCTTCGCTGTCATCTAGGGCAGTTAGGCTGCCTGTTCTTCTTTTCACATTTGGATGAAAGTTGGGCTGAAAATTAGCGCATTCTTTTTCAAAAAATCGCCTCATAACATTCCCTTGATTCGGCAAATATTTTTGGTAGGGTTGTCGGAGAAATACGAATAATGAAGTTTTTGTGGCCAGATCCTTATTGGTATCATAATGATTTAAATTGAGTAATTTTAAAGAAGCTAATCTGAGGATTGTTTATACAGAATGCCAGATATGTTTGCGTTTGAGAAAGGAACTAAATGACATGAGAACAGAGCGCAAAAAAGATAAGAAGAAGTGGGAAGAAGAAGAAAAAAGTTTGAAAAAGGAAATCATGCAACTCAAGAGTAAAAATGATGCCTTGCAGGAAGCCTACAATGGACAACTGGCGACGATAAAAGAATTCGAAAAAACAAGCGATCCGATTACGAAAACGAAGGCAAAAGTTATGGAAAACTTGGAAGAACAGATTGAAAATCTAAAAGCCGCGACAGAAAAATTAATGAAACTTATAAAAGATCAAACGGATCTAGAAGAGCCCAGGCAGTTAAAGGCTAAAATTTATGAGCTGTGGACTCAAAAAGAAAAGCTACGTAAAAGAGTAGAAAACGGTGAGATGGAGCGCAACAGGCTACAAGAGGAGCTTGAGAAGTACATCAACTCCAGAAGGCGTAAGTATAAAGGCACAAAGTTAATAGTGCCTTGATATCTGTTTTTTATAAGGATGTTTAGTCACGTGTTATTCAAGTTAGGAAAACGGTCGGGTGGAGGGGGTAGGGATAACGTTCCCTTTTCAACTGTTTTCTGAGGTACTTGTCTTTCTCCGTTTAGGCGTTTTCTCGCCAACCGGAGAGCAATTTGGTGGAAACTGCCGTGGTGTCATATGCTTCTTGAAGAGAGAAGCCTCGGCTAAGCTGGTAGCTAACAGATCCACCGATTACATCGGAAATGTGAATGACATACTTAACCATGAGACGGGCACCACCAGTGGGACAGAGGATAAGGAAAATTCATGGTGGTCCATCGATCTGGGCTTACGCTATCGGCTTATAATCACAAACTGCTCTTTGAGGGACGGTAATATGTATGGAAAGTTAGCACCTATAAATTGGAAACTAGAGGGATCTAATGATGGAAAGAAATGGGATGGTCTTGAAACTATTCACATGAAGGATTCACAGTGTATGTGCAGAGACACATCTTTGTATCATACGAGAATTTGGTCTGTTGTGGGGGAAATAGCGCCTTTTCGTTTTTTTCGAATTTTCCAGACAGGTACAAATTCCTCTGACAGCAATGGATTATATCTATCTGGAATTGAGCTGTATGGAATACTTCTAAACATTTGAGAGATGACAACTAGGGAGGCTTTTAACCTTTAATGTTTTCATCAAGCGGCTGAGATAAAAAAGTAACCCCTCAAATCAAGGTCTGTGTGTGAGTTACCTTTAAAAGTGCCTGTGAGGGGTCACATAACTTTTTCTTTGTAATCTCTTATATCTTCACTTAGAGTGTGATTTTTCGTTCGTTTTGCAACAATTAGAACATTGCAATTTGCTGTTTGGTTTTAAGTGAAATGCAAGTCAAAAAAAAAAAATTAAGATGCCCTATTCTTTGATCAATTTTTTAAGGGTGTAGCAAATCAATATTTTATAGGCAGTTACATAAAATTGTAGATATGGAAAATTAAGAGAACGGAAAAATTTTTTAGTTGTCTATGCTGCAAGAATATCGTTGTAAATGATCATCTAACACAACCTAAGTGATAGAGTGTTGATCTTAGTTTGCCCGAGTTTGTAACGAAGAATTCGTTTATTTAGGAAATTGCTAGGTTATGGAATTCTTCAGAACCAAGTAGTAGGGGGAAATTATCAGCGTTTTTAAAATAGTGATGACTGTAGCTTTTAGAGTGCTTTATAGATTGTCAGCTTTTTCTTTATCATCCACCAAATATTAGTGCTGGAGAATGGTAACACATGAAAACCGGGTATAAAAGTTGCTCTAAAGGGGAAAAGTTGCTCATAGGGTCGTAAGCAGCCAAACTTGTAACTTTCGAACATAAGAAACTAAAAAATGTTGTGCGACTCAGGTTCTGGTCAGTAGCCACCACATATAACTATAACTGGCATTCTCTCGCGGATACTGAAGTCTGATTGGCTATGCCCCTCGCTATTCCGTTTTAGAATAAATCAACTAGCGCTCTATCAAAACTACTGCAATCTGATTGGCTACACTAGTAGCTCTTTATTCCGTGATAGATAGTGAGTAAAGTGAGTGGATTATCGATGTGATTGGAAACAAAATAAAATAAAAACATGAGCGTGTCTTATTGAAAACTTGTGATAGTCTCAGCAATCAACTATTTGGCAAACGTGATAATGCCTCTTGTCTTGTATTTATTGTTTTCCGTCCATTTGTAAGCCAAAAGAGTGTGATAATAGCTGTTTTTTCAACATCAGAAGGTTTCGATTCTTTTTAATTTTAGTTTGATATGAGAAAAATGGCCTTTGTTTACTCTCCATGCTAAACTGGATTGCTGCGAGCTCAAGCCCTGTCCAGAAGGCATGTTGCAGACCACAAAAGTAATCCTCAGCGATGTGGGCTTCTTTTCCTGTGTGCATCGTCAGAACCTTATCTTCTATAAGTGTCCTTAAATTCTTATATTTACAATCAACCGCATACGATCCTTAAAATTCTCTGATAAAAATTTTGCTCTTCAAGCATGGATCGCAATATATTTAAAAACGTGAAGTTGCACTTTCCGCTTAGCCAATATTCAATACCAATTGAAATGCATATGTAAATAATTAAAGGTGTGAATAATCCAAGGTAGACCGGAGAAATGGCCAGTGAGCGGGTTAAAAAGGCTAAGTTGAAGAAGCTAAATTAATTCTTATTCTCCTTGCAGTTTTTTCATGCGTCAACGGTGCATTCATGGGGATATGAAGTACGCGGGAAGTTGGAGCACTAAAGGCGTGTAAAAGTTTGTTGAGGCGTAGCCGAGAGTAAATTTAGCTTCTTAGGCGCTTCTTTTTCTGATGAACGCTCATCTGACTCAGGAATCAGTTATTTTATGACTTTTTCCGGGTGTTAGCATAAAGATGTACTATAAAGAGTAGTTAATCGTCCGCGCACACACACGTCATCATTTTTCACAATATGAATTTTTATGATAAAGTAAATTATACAGGCATTTTGACAGGTTCTTACCTATAATCTTTTGGAGGACAGACGCATAGAACTAGTCACCATTAACAATAATTTGGCTTTTTTTAATCATATGAAATAAATAGATTCCGTGTTGCCGCGGGTCTGTACAGTAAATATATAGATTAAGACATGGATCAATTTCTGCAACATGTCATCTCAAACTATCAAACTACACCAGGCCCGAAATGCAATCCGAACATCTGAATAGGCTAATTGTTCAGATATATAACGTAAATTGACCACCGTAAACTTTCTTACGGTGGGCGATACACATTACCAACGCAGTTGATAAAACCAAATTTTCCTTGTTTCTACATAGTTTGTGCATGGGGTCTTGGGGCTATGCACCGACTCAGCTTGTAAATGACACAGGACATTCAGTATACTGAGCGTGGGTGGGAGGGTATCCTTTCTCTCACTTTCAAGGGTTTATAATCACAGGTAAGACTCAATCGCACAACTTTATCATTCTTAAGTGTCTTCTCGCTGTTAGGTCACATGATAATTCTTGTTATTATACAGAAGACTTACCATAAAAACTCCGATTGGTCGAGAGCATTCAGTCAATAAACAATTATTGGATGAGGTTTTTGTGATATCCAGAATAATCAAGGCCGAGGTAAAGGGTATCAGCCAAAGCCAAAGGCTGAGGCTGATAACCCTTACCTTGTTTATTCTGGATATCAGAAAAAACGAATTTAATAATTGTTTTTTATACATTGAAAGAAAAATAAAAGGTCACTACAGTAAGTGGAAATGATAATTTATTTGTAAATGTGTAAAAGTATACAAATCAGCAAGCAACATAAAGCGCGCAAAGTTGACATGATTACCCGTAGAGATCATAAACTGCAGTCATACATGACATTATTACCCGTGACATTGAGTGTCCTTGACTTGACTACTGTATAATCCGCAGCTAGGTGACGTTCCAGGCGCTGATTTCGGAAATTCGGCCAATCGCTGGATTCAGCCAATCGCTGATTTCGAAATTTCGGCCAATCAGAAAATAGATAGTGAGTTAAGCGCGCGGCCAGAACGATCATGCTACATAGCTGAGTTGTAGAAAACTGTGAAGAAACGTCGCAATCTATGGTGGGGAAAGGAGAAATCTAGAAGAAAGGACGAAGGTATTGCGTGGCCGGAGCGCCAAATGATGTTTGCTACAAGAGTAATACACATATACCGGGTATTTCTATACACTACTTTCCAAAGGATGTAGCTGCATGGCAAAATGGACGCGTTTCGATCGTCGACTTCGAGGAGAGTTTACTCTTCAATGTCGTCAGCCTTATGCCCCGTACCGGCTTCGAAGACGCCTGTAACGAACACATAGCACTTGTCAAATCAGGGGAAGATAACCAGTGAATTCAGCTAAGAAGAATGCTGATTAAGGAGCCTGTTTTCACACCGTACACGATTGTTCAACATTCTTTTCGAGAACCCCTTATTGTTGTTTATTTCACGCGCTTGAGATGTACTGATACTCCCTGTTTTTCCACATGACTACATTTGCACTTTTCTTATCGGATGAAAACCCTACCAATTGTAGTTTCCATCGTATTTAACTAACAGAAATACATCATTTGTAATAAAGTTAAAGCCCTTTCCTGATATCAATGATGTAATCTCACTCGTTTTCCGTTCGGTTTGACCGGCTCGACGATCGCGACGATGGCCTCTTCCTTTGCAATCTCTGAGGAAAGAAGCAACTTGCAGTGAAACTATCCGATGACTTCTGATTAAAAAATCATCGTGCCTCGTGACACAGCTGATTCTTTCGCCAAAAGTTTGCTTTTGGTTTAGAAAGGGAATTTCCCTACAGCAGCAAAACTCTAGAGCACTGACCGAGAGGAACCTTCGCCGCACATAGTGCGAAGAAATAAAATGTTATGGCAACAGAAACGAACACAGCTATTCATTCTCTGGATAGATTTCGCCATAGAAAACAAAACACAAACGCAACAAGCTAAACATTCGGTAACAGGAACTTTTTGTTTTAATCTTGACCTCAGTGAACACCGCAGGGGAGAAATCGTCTTTGTCAGTGTTCGTTGAAATCTTCGTTTGAGGCACGCGGTTCTCCTTCATAGGGCTGAACTGTACTCGCAACTTTCATTTCTTATCTACTGCTTGAGTACGATATATTACAACTCTCGGTAGAGCTTACTGAAGGGAGGCATACATCGCTATCAGACATTATTTCAGGAGTATTTCAACGCTGACTGATACAAAATTACAAGAGTTGTGAGAGATTTGTAAGTGTCAACTGAGAGTTTTCACAGTTTTCTACGTCATCACCCGCTAATTTGTTACCAGTCCACGGGACGCTCAAAAGACAAAATAAGAGCACTTTAGGGCCCGAAAAAACCGAGTTTTAAGTTTTTTGAATTTTTTTTTCAGTCGGAGTTGGTTTTTTACATATGATAAGCTAGATGTTAACGCAAAAAAAAAAAAAATTTGTGTCATGCGTATCAAGAAAAGTGGGTCGACATAGATAACAATAGGCTTTGTTATAATGACCCCATATGGCCATTTTTGAACAATGGCACAACAGCTTCAGAACACATGAGGGATTTGTCGAAGTTTCCGATTAGCATACGAGCGGGAAATTTAAACGCTCGGAAAGGCTGAAGGAAAGACAGCCAAAAGAAAATTTGAGGGGAGAAAATAGCAGCGAGAAAGTCGGAGGAGGAAACCTTCACTTTCTCGCTCTACGGACTATCGAATCACGACTTCGCCGCTCCCAGAGTAATCTTTCATAATATGAGAGCAGTTCAAATCTCGCGCGGGCTACGCAAGTCAGACTTAATTCTTTGTGTGCACAATAAGTATTATAATAAAGTTCGGATATAGCGCGCGCTGTCATTGGTTGAAAGAACGTGCTCTATGAGAGTATAGAGCATAGAGCTGAAGCTGTCACGCCATCTGCCGAATTGTACTGTTAGACCTTTTCCGGGACTTCTTTTTAGCTTTTTTTTCGATGATTGAAAGTGAAATTTTGGAACAAGCGAGCCGGCAAGTAGCAACAGAAGAACCAAACAAAGGTTTGTAAACATACCAGGCGCCGTAATTTACGTTAATAAAATTTGAGCAGAGGCGAAAATCCTCAAGGGGAAAACAAAATAGACAGTCCGAG